ACCAGGCTTCACTGCAGGACAGTGTTCTCAGCATGATGCTGCCACCATCGTGCTTCACTGCAGGACAGTGTTCTAAGCATGATGCTGCCACTGTCGTGCTTCACTGCAGGACAGTGTTCTCAGCATGATGAGAGGTGGTAGGTTTGTTTCAGACTTTAGGTTAATGTCTCTACTGTTGCTCTTGATGTTTGGTCTCATTGGACCACAGCGCCTTCTTCCATGGATGGGGAAGAAAATCCCAAAAGTCATTTTTTTCTTCAATCAGTCTCTTCCTGTCCACTCTCCCATGAAATCCAACTCTGAGCAGGTTGTAGTGGTCCTGTGAACAGATCCTCCACCTCCCAACTCCATCAGGCTGATCTTGGATGCCTCTCTGATTAATGTCCTCCTGACCTGCTCTGCGAGTCTTGGTGGTGTCATCTCTCTGTTCCCTAACACTGGTTTTAATGGAGCTCTGTGGGATGTTCAGGGTTCTGGGATATTTCTTACAAATTAACCACAAGTTCCTTGGTCTTCATGATGTCTCTTGCTCGGTGGCAGCCCAAACGACAGGTGCTGGTTCTGTCAGAACAGGTGTATTAGATCGCTCACAGGTGGACCTTAAGGAACTAATGATGAGGCTTCTGAAGAGAATGATTGAAGCTTCAACGCAAAAGGGTGAAAACATCTGCACGCCCCACTTTTCACTTTCAAATTTGTTATGATAATTTAAAACTAGGACCAGACTCAGAGGTCCACCTGCACCTCAAGGACAAGGGACTCTCTGCTGAGGACCAACACGTCCAGATGTTGGACAGAGAGGACAGATGGTCTGAGAGGAGGTGAAGAAAGAAATTTACGTCAAACAAGATAAAAAGAAGTTTAAACAGAGGAGGACCTGATCCCAGGTCAGCTCCAGTCCTTCATGCAGGTGACCCAAACATCTGTCTGAACCAGGTCTAACGAGTCTCCACTGTGAAGGCAAGTAGTTCCAGTCTAACCTGCAGCTGATCTAAGGACTCACTCATGCAGTTCTCTAAAGCTGTGAGCTCCACACACTCCAGACCTTTTAGAGGTGATGAAGAGGAACATCTTCTGAAGACACGTCCAGTTGTTTCTGCTTTAAACCTGTTTTTGACATATTATGTTCTCAAAGATAGAGAAGAACACAAGAACGTTTTCTGTCTTCTCCTTCCAGCTGCTCCCTTTAGGGGTCTCCTCAGGTGATCTTCTGTCTCCAGCTCCCAGTATCCTTCTCTGTCCCACCAACCCTCTGCAGATCCATCCACCTACTCTGTGGACCTCCTCTGTCCCTCCTCTGGACATGTCCAAACCACCTCAGCTTCTCTAACTTTGTCTCCAAACCTGAGCTGTCCCTCTGACGGACTGATTTATATTCATGTCCATACTTGTCCCTCAGGTCCAACCTGTTCTCCTGTCTTTCTGTTGGAAACACTGCCTCCAGAACATCGCAGCAGGTCTCTCCTGGGTTCTGCTCGTTGCTTTGGAGGTTAACCTGGATGTAACTGGGACCCTGTGTACACAATTTTGTTGCGAATGACAAAGAAACTCTCTGACCTTCTCTCTCTCTCTAACCACAGGAAGTTGAACCTTCAGCTGAAGAATATTTATTTTATCTAACATGCTGGTTCCATACAGACAGGAGGAGAACCCATCAGAACATAAAACACATGAGCTTACCTGTGGAGTTCATCCTTCTGGTGCTCTGCAGTCTCAGAGTTAGAGTCTTTATTTATACTGGCTCCGCCCACTCTGGTCATGTGATTTACAGTAATGGTTGCAGCTTTTTTTTTTTTTTTTTGGAAACGCCTGAAGTTACTTTCACTTTCGGATGATGGCTCCGCCCACTCTGGTCATGTGACTTACAGTAATCTCTGCAGCTTTTCTGAAATGCCTGGACTTACTTTCACTTTCAGATGATGGTTTCAAGACAGCTGGGGGTCTGATCTGACTCCCCTTCAAAGGAGGGTCTGGGGGTCCAGGAGAGATCTGCTTCACCTGTGAGGCTCCAGGTCAAAGGTCAGAGGGTTCCTGAACTCAGTGAGAAAATGAAAGAGTAGTGCCAGAGACAAGACAAAGTGAAAGTGTGAGATGAAGGAGGTTGTTTGTCAGATTCTGAGTACAGGGGGAGGACTTGATTTAAAACCAGACTCTGTTTTAGGTTTCATTTTGCAGAAGAGCAGCTACACCACGATGAGTGACTTAAACCAAAGAATGCGTAAGAACATTTATCTGCAAATTATTCAGCAAAATGTCTGCAACAGTTTATGAACTAAATTTATGCTTAATGTAAATGTTTTTCAACTTCATTTAATGTTTTTTATCTGTTGATGTGAACTCTTCACGTCAGGGATTCCTGTATTTATTCTTTTGATCTGACACTTTTAGTTGCAAAACATTTAGATTGAGAATTATTTTTTTATGAGCAGGTTGTTCAACCATCAGTGTTCATCGTTATCTGCTTTTCTCCTTTTCTGTCTTTAGTTGATATCATGCGAGGCCGTCATAATATAAGTAAGTCACAGAATCTGAATCCAAAATTATCTTTTCTCATTTATGTTGTTTGATTCTGTTTATTGTTGTTGATGATTCTTTATTTGATTGATTATTTTTGTAATAACGTTTCAAAGACAATTTTGTTCTTCTTTGGATGAATATTCATTTGTTAGGATTTATAATTCCCTGTAATTAACGGATTCTGCCTCAGTGACAAAGCTCTGCTTATTTAAGGGTAAATGCATTAATTAAGTTGTTGCTGGTCAATGAACTGACCAGCTGGTGCCTCGTTTTAATGAGTGAAAAACAAATAAGTGTAGTGAAGTGAGGAGCATAATGTCACCCTTCTTCATCCTTTCCTTTATATATGTTACACTTTTATTTGAAATAGTTGAAAATGTTTAAAGATTTTTATTATGAGCAGGTTGTTCAACCATCAGCGTTCATCGTTATCTGCTTTTCTCATTTTCTATCGTCAGTGAGAAAAGTTTACGGATTTCATGCTCCTCCTTAAATAATCACATAATCTGCAAAAACCTGACTGATCTCAGAAAGTCACGACATTCAGCTTCTTAAACTTTTCCTGTTAGTAAAATATCTGAGCTTCTCTGAGCTCAGATTGAAGTGAACATTTGGAAAGTTCCAGTCTTTAGTTTGGGTTCAGCAGACGCTTAAAACTTCGTTTTGAACACTTTGACCTCTGATCAGTCGACTGACTTCCTGTTTATGAAACTCGCAACACTTTTTGTGTTTTTGTCTTCACAGGAGTTCAGCCTCCAGAATCGACACGTAAGACTTTCAGTTTATTTCTGACCATCATGAAGTTGTTTTTACAGAACAATAACTGAGGCTTCTGTGCAGTTCTGGACCAACCCTGGAGGGACCTGGCCTGGGGGTGAGTTCACTGACACCCCCTCATAGATTGTCTGTTGGTCTCTCAACTCAACTTTTTATTATGGCCATTTAACCTTCACAACACGGAGACAGAACCGAAAGTAAAAGAAGCAGCTGCGGAGCGGGTCGGGTTCTGCTGGGTGTTCAGTTAAAAGATACTGAATGAACTGGAAATGACTTTAATGGGAAAGTTTAATCAAACAGAAGCAGAAAACCATCAAAACCCAGAAAGAACTGAGGAAACACCAAGCTGAATATCAAAGTGAGGGTTCTGGTCCGGTTATCTGATGATGCTGATGATGGACTAAAGATCATGTGTGGCAGAGGGTCCGGTTGGTAAGTGTGATACGGTACCAGTGGTTGGCCTCATGGCTGCTTCAGGCCCTCAGCGGCAACTCTGAGTATTTAATGCTCAACTGGACGAACCATTTCATCAGAATCATGATGAAATTATATATTTGTATTTCTGTTGTTGGTGTCTGAGCTGGATCATGTTTCCTGGTCACTGCAGACCAGAGGCTACTAAACTTCTCCATGCCATGCCCCACCCGAGGCCCCCGGCCCTCGCAATCCCACAAACAATGCTACAAAATATGTAAAGAAACATCAACTTTTAGAATGTTTTAACTTTTATTCACTATGTTCAATTAATTGTTACAGCTGATGAGCATAAAAATGTTATTAACTAACATGTTTTAAATTCCCACTGGAAAAAACAACAACTTTTCAACAAACTGTTGATCAGAAGAACAAATCAAAATAAATCTAACCTCTCTCTAAAGCGTGTTTATTTGGAAATGACAGATACAGATTGTCCTAGTGGACAATTTTTATTATTATTATTACTATTTTTTATTTTTGCTTTTTTAAAAATCTCTCCAGCCTTCTGGGGCCCCCGTGGTGCCCCCCCATGGGGCTGCGGCCCCCACTTTGAAAAACACTGGACTAGACTACTGTATCACGCTTTACGTTGGGGTCGGTCAGGTCTCCCTTTCACGTCTCCAGCTCGTCCAAAATGCCGCATCTCGGCTCTTACCTGGAATTCGAGGTTCAAGGTTCTTTATTATCAGTCGCACCACATGTGGTACATGAGGTGGAACGAAACTGTGTACACAGAGTCCCAGTTACATCCAACAATAGTGAAAATATAATGTGTAAAAGAAACAGTAATAAGGAAGATATAAACTAAGAAATACGCTAAAGACTTAATAGTGCAAAACTATACACCGAACAACAGCAGCACGAACATGAGTCTGTGTGAGTAGATGAGTACGAATGAATACAGCAGCATGAAATAAATCAGCAACATGAAATAAATCAGCAGCATGGATAATCAGCAGCATATATCAACAATCAAAGTGTCATTACAGTTTGTTTTTTTCATAGGAATGGCATCTCATAGGCATGATCATATTTCACCAGTTTTGTCCTCCTTTCACTGGCTCCCTGTGCATGTCAGAATTGATTTTAAAATTCTGTTGACATTTAAGTGCATAAATGGCCTTGCACCCTGTTTTAAATGTGCTTTATAAATAACAGACTTTGTAGACCAGAGCCCTGTTTTTGATTGGTCTATAGACCAGATGCCTGTCTGTGATTGGTCTGTAGACCAGAGCCCTGTTTGTGATTGGTCTATAGACCAGAGGCCTATCTGTGATTGGTCTGTAAACCAGAGCCTGTCTGTGATTGGTCTGTAGACCAGAGGCCTATCTGTGATTGGTCTATAGATCAGAGCCCTGTTTGTGATTGGTCTATAGACCAGAGCCCTGTTTGTGATTGGTCTATAGACCAGAGCCCTGTTTGTGATTGGTCTATAGACCAGAGGCCTGTCTGTGATTGGTCTGTAGATCAGAGGCCTATCTGTGATTGGTCTGTAAACCAGAGCCTGTCTGTGATTGGTCTGTAGACCAGAGGCCTGTCTGTGATTGGTCTGTAGATCAGAGGCCTATACTGTGATTGGTCTGTAGACCAGAGCCTGTCTGTGATTGGTCTGTAAACCAGAGCCTTCTGTGATCGGTCTGTAAACCAGATGCCTGTCTGTGATTGGTCTGTAAACCAGAGCCTGTCTGTGATTGGTCTGTAA